GAGAGAAGCTCATGGTGGAGGAAGGTTGGTCACCTTATGGTGGCAAGAAAGGAGAGAGAGAGGAGAGAGAGCAAGAGAGACAAAGAGAGAGACAGAGGACAAGAGAGACAACAGAGACACAGGGACAGAGAGACAGAGTGACCTTGCTTCCTAAAGTTTCCGCTTTCTCTCAGTAGTGATACAGCTGACCTTTGGTTAACATTTAATATCCATTTCAAAATGCTCTTTCAGTGGACTCATGAAGAATACATCTTCATTCTTCCTGTACCCCAGAGCACCAAATGGTGTTTGGCACAAAGACAAAGCACACTCTTTACAATCAATACGAACTGTGTAAAGCAAGAGAAAGCAACGCAATCTCTGTGCTTCCATGGAGCTCCAAAGCTTCATATTTCCTTGGACTCAAACAGTCCATCTTTTAACCTGAAAATTGGTGTCGTTTGAAGCTTCTTCAATCTCTAGATCACTATTTGCTTTAGTATGATACAGAACATGCTTTGATCTTCACATTACAGTTGACTTCCTAAAGTGACCCAATTAAACCTTTATAACAGATACTTTCTAGTTTATTGAAACTAAAACAGATGTAGCTCTTTATTTTACACACCATGGAGATATGCTCCCCCTCTTCATTGGTATAGCATTTTTGTGTGTTTTTATTGAATTTTTAAGTATTTCACACACAACATCTTAATCATCTTTATACCTCTTCCCCCATCAGCACTCTCTCATATACAACCCCACTGGATTCCATGCATTCTGTAATTTATGTTAAGTCCTATCAAGTCAAGTAAATGTCCCCAGATGTCCCTCATCCACTGAGCTCTAGTCAGGCCTGTCTAGAGTCACTACCTTAAAGAAGATCAGCTCTTCCTCACCTAGGAATAATCAGCTGTCCAATGGTTCTTCAGCTAAGATTGGGGCCTGCTGCTCATTTCTACAGTTCTATGCTGTATTTTTGTCTGCTTGAGTTTACATGGGTCTTGTGCATGCTGACACCATTGCTGTAGGTTCATATGAGCAAAGTCCCAGGGACCTATGACTCTATTTCCATATGGCCATGCACCTCCTCCCCTGGCTCTCACAATCTTTCTACCCCCTCTTCTGCAATGGGCCCTGAGCCCTGGGTGGATGAAGTTTAATATGGGAGTCCTGTCCAAGGACCCACACTCTGCAGACTCTTGTTCTTTATGCTTTGGCCATTTGTGGCCCTTTGTGTTCATTGCCCTCTTTTGCATGAGGGAGCTTCATTGATAAGAGTTGAAAGATGCATTAGTATTCATTCTACCCCTTGTTTCCCTGTGTTCTACGAGTCTTAGGTGTAGATGTGTCACTTAGGGTTGGGCATTTCACAGACACTTATTCTCTGTGTGTTGCCAGTTGTGGAACTCTGTAATAGTCTCCATCTGTTACAAAAGAAGCTTCTTTGATGAGTAGTGCCTGGCATACTTGTCTGTAAACATACGGATCCATATTTAGCACATAGTAAGAAATTACATTTGTCTGTGGATATGACAGTCTTGGGGTTTTCGCTAAGATCTGTGACCTCTCCAGCCATATGTATTTGGCTATGTTTACAGTAACACACGTGTTCTCTCCCATTGAGTGGATTCATATCTAATGAGGTATCTGTTGATTACCTCCAAGATAAAAGTGCCACTACTGCCCCAATATAGTTTGCTGTGCTGGTCATTGTGGTTATTAGGCCTTAAAGCTGGGGTTGGACCATCAATTTATATTCTCCCTTAGCAGCCTGTGTAGAGTTCTCCAAGATTATGAGAGCTATCCTTCAGGGAGGTGGCTGCCAGGTCAGTTCCAGCTCCATTGCTCCAAGTCCTGTGTTGAAGTATGACCTGTCTTCAGCAATGGGATCTTAATTTCAAGTTCTGGGAGGCAATCAACTACCCTGACCAACAACTACCCTTACCAACAACTGAAAGGAAGGTTTCTCCTGTCTATCATTGTTTCTTTTTATAATGCTTTCAGGTATACACATGGAACTCATGTAGAGATATTGTATGTGTAATTTTTTTCAGCATGTTTTTGAACTAATACATTTCTCTCTGGTTTTTCACATCAGCTAGGCATTATTTATCTCTCCTCTCTCTCTACTCATCTAACCCTCCTTGATTCATTAATACATACAAGTCACAAGAAAAAAACATTTTTTGAAATTCTGTGTACATTATAACTTCAATTTTTACAAAAGCTAAGGGCTAAATTGGCGTGTAAAGAATATCAGACCCTTGGAAGAAAATATAAGGCTTGAAATAAGGGACACTGGAACTGCCCTGTATTTGTTTTCTATGAAGAAACAATAGTAAATAAAAAGGTCCAGTCATTCATTCATTCATTTGAAACTTCTTATTAAGGAAGTTCCTGCAGAAACTAGAGAGACCATGATACTTAAGGCTGTTTCTAAGGAATTCACATTGCAGTGAAGGATATATTCACAATACCAATTAACAAGTATATGATATGTCTGTAAAGTCTAGATATGTGAGGTAACAGAGAGTAATGGTTATTGATATTTGATACATGCCCTCCTCTGTGGTGTCACATGATACATTCTACATAAACAGTGCAGTTGAGTGAGTTGTACCTTTCCAGTGGTCCCTGCACATGTGTCTGTGATGTGCTGTATTGGCATCCGTTAAATAACTTATGCTTTTAGGAACCCCCAAAGTAACCAAGATATATCAATCTATAAAAAATGCTATCTGTATTTCTATAATTTGTAAACATCCCAGAGAATAAAACTCAGAGAGGCCTGAGGAGATGACTCAGTTGACAAAATGTCTGTCCCACAAGCATGGGGACCTGATTTCCAATCCCCAGGTTTAGGGTCTACTTCTCTAGTGCAACAGACTGCGTCTGTAACTTCATTGATGGGGGTACTGAGACAGGAGGATCCCTGGAGCTGCTCAGACAGCCATCTTAGCCAAATTAATGAGCTCTGGGTTCAGTGACAGACCTTGGGTCAAAACATAGGGCAGAGAGCAGTTAAGGAAGACACCCTTCATTGACCTCTGACCTCCACATGCATTGTGCACACTCAGTGAGTACTAAGAACAAAATAATCACTATCATGGTTAACAACTACACAGAGTTTCTATGTGCCAGGAGTTCTAAGTCAAGTCTTGTCTATCTAATTTCACTATACATATCAATAACTTAGGGTTATAACCATTCTGGTTCTGAGTCAGTAATTCCCAAGAAGGGATTGAGATGGCACATTTCAAACAAGCTTCCTGACAAGGCGCATGCTTCAGGTGAATGAGCCACACTTTCAGTAGTGAGGGCTGAGCATTTTATATGAGGCTCTATTACTTGCTCCAAGTTCCACAGCTTTTTAAGCTGGAATCACTCCAGGCAGATTGCTACCTGACTGTGGCTTTCAGTTGCTGCTTAAAGTAAATAGAGAATGATTAGGATGAGGACAGGTGCTTTTTCCAGTAGGGGTCAAGAAACCCACCATGAGACAGAAACAGAGAGAGGAACTGAGCCAATGGCCTGAAGAAGAACACGAGGTAGAGGAAACTGACAAGATGTATATACTTGGAGCATAGTGAAATGGTAGGTACAAAGCTTGGGAAAGGAGAGCATGATATTCGTACAAACCCAGCGCAAATAAGAAAAGTGATTCCTGTAACAGTAGAGCACTTTAATAGTTCAGAATCCAAGGCCTGTTAGGTAGATCAGGATTCCACTTTTAACAACATTGGTAAAGCACTTAATTTCTTATTCAGGTGGCTATAACAAAATACCAGATGTGGATGACTTTAAAGCAAAAGAAATGTATGTCCCATAGTCTAGGAGACTAGAAAGTTCAAGGATTACAGGAGGATTGGTGTCTGGTGAAAACCTGTTTTTTTACTTACAAACCCATTTCTTTGCTGTGTCCAGACATGGTGGAATGGTGAATAAGCTTCTTGGGTCTTTTCCATAAGGACACTGACCCCCGTTTATGAGGTTTCTGCCTCATGCACCTCTTAAGGCCCCACCTTCTCATATTAACACAATCCCCTCATATGTGGGGATTTCAACATAAAGATTTAGTGGACATACAAACATTGAAATCATAACATGAAAATTACTCAGTTTCCTACTCATTTAAAGGTGGTAAACACAGGACCCATAAAATTAACTTATAAAAGCTTATTGCCTGCCATGCATACATTGAGAACTATATGAACTATGACTTGTATTTGTATGAAAGGAGCACAGTGGCAGAAGATTAAACTTTAGTTGATTCAGTTAAACCTATAGGTAAAATGAGGTTTGGAAGACTATGAATGAGTTAGAAGTCAAAGAAAATAAACATCAAAGGCATGCTACATATGAAAATAGCAGCAGGTCTCTCGCTAATTTTCTTCTTCTAGACCAGGAATGATTGTCTTGTAGCTTTGAGGTAAGCCTTGTGTTCCACAGGAAGAGTTAGAGTGCACTCTAATCTTATGAAACAGGCCAATAGGTTTATTCTTTAAGCTGATAATTTCTTTTTTCTTGAAAAGGGTTCTAAATTCCCTTTTTAAAAATCCCACTTCTTTGACTTTTCAGGATTCCCTTAAAAATAAATCTGCTTATGTTTATGCTCCCAGAGTACTAATTTCTATATAGAGTCTGGACTGTAATCGGTACTTGAGCTCAATCCACCATACCACACATTAGTTGGACATGTTTGGTACTTACCTTGCAGTTAGAAATTAAAGTTTCGCCTTGCTGTAGCAGTAATTTTAATTCTCTAGCTACTATCACATTACTTTACTTCACTTTGATGAATTTCCCAAATGGGAAGAAGCAATTATCTGTGCACGTTCTAAATACAGAAATTCTTGGAGGACTGGCCAGGTAAGTTATGCCATTTTCATACAGCCACACTTGGTGATATGCCTTGTCTGCAAGCCTTTTGTTCAGACCACTTAGGAGAGGCAGGAATCAGCATGGAGAGGGGTTTAACCCAGACAGCATTGTGATATCTTTTTCTTTCTGCGCTACAGAAAAAGAAGGAGGCTGTTGAAAGTGGCAAACGCCAAATTGAGAACACTTTAAAAGAGGGCAATGAGATACTTGATGAAGCCAACCGACTTGCAGATGAAATCAACTCAGTCATAAATGTGAGTATGAATAAAGCCAATGGTGCCCATGCTAACACATTGGAAATACGGAGAAACTCAGTAACAGAAGCATGGGCTTACATTTATTTTCCTGTGAAAATGTTTTTTTATAGTAATCTGTTATCAAGACACCAACCTGTAGTAACAATTAAAACTTGACATTGCACTCTCAGCAGATGCTGGTGTTTACCTGGCATCTGAGGCAAGTCTGGGCTCTGCATTTATCATGGTGACCAGGACATTCCTGGTTCCTAGCATAGCACTTACAATTTGTTTTAATATCATATAGCTTTAGATAAAGGGGAATGCAAACCTATAAACAGACCTTTAACATACCATCTCATGCATTGTACAAAGACATGAAAAAATAGAGCCACAGATGATCTAAAATGTCCTAATGACTGTCATTTGTACATTTGTTGCTATGAAGCAACCTTTTAAAAAATATAGATTCTCCATGGTATAGATTAGCTTCAGAAAGCATGTTTTTCTTCTTAAATAGCACTTGTATTTTCTCCTTTTTTCTTCTATACTAGCAAATCAAAGTTTCAGAAAGGAAAAGACCAAATGCGTGTAATTATGTCTCACAGACAATTTAGCAAATTCAAGGAGACTTGAATTCACTTTCTTTAAATGCCCTCTCTTCTCTCTACACATCAGTATGTTGAAGATATTAAGATTAAATTTCCACCGATGTCCGAGGAGCTTAGTGACAAAATAGATGACCTCTCCCAGGAAATAAAGGACAGGAAGCTTGCTGAGAAGGTGTCCCAGGCTGAGAGCCACGCGGCTCAGCTGAATGGATCGGCTGCTGTGCTTGATGGGTATGTCGTGTGTTGTTAGAAATGTCTGCATAGTTTGACACTTGTCTAAAAGTTCTGACAAGCAGAAATGGTAGAGAATCACTTTCAAGTCTTGATTTCTGTCATTAGGAACAAAAGCACCGCATGGCTTTTGTATGGATGATCCTAATTAGGAAAGGGTAGCCAAAGTTGTACTGGAGTAGCATCACAAATTTCAGTTAAAAGTAGATTCAAGGGTGGCTGGTTAGGAAATGAGAACAGCCTTAGGCTACCCTTATAATATTCCTTTTTGTTTTTTTATTAGAAAGCACAGTGGTTGTCTTATTAGCATTTTAAAGAATAATATACAAACATATACACTACAAATTTCAGTTTTATGCTTCTAATGGAATCAAAACAATTAATCTTTTTAAAGTGTCTTTGAAAATGTGGCCTTCTGTATAGCCCTCCAATCTCTTCCCACTTTTTTATGAACTCTGGCTAGATTTTAAGTAAACCTATCTGAAATTACTGCTCATGACTGGGTGATGCACACCTGTAACCCAGCACTTGAGAGGTGGAAGCAGGAAGTCACAAGTTCAAAGCTGTTTCATATACATAGTGAGCCCAAGGCTAGTGTGGGCTACAAGAAACACTGTCAAAATGAAATAAACTAAAATAACGAAAACAGTTCACTCTACTGGGATTAACACATGGGTCACCTCTAGTTCTTCTCGAGAGGAATGGAACTGATGGAATGAAGACAGACAGGCATACACACATGTGAAAGTATATATAAAGGTAATTTCTTAGTTTACTTTAAAATAGTAACAACAGCTGAATCACATCTGACAAGCTGGGAACCTGGTAGCTGCTCAATCCTTGAGGCTGAGTGGGTGCCTCGGCAGTTGGAGTCAGAGTGCTCCCACATACTGGGTGCCTCATACTGGAGAGACCAACAATCTGGTGGTTTCTCAGTCTATCAGCCCGGGAACCTCAGCGGTCCCAAGCTGGCACTGAAAACTTGGAGGAGCAGCTGGTCTCCAGTCAGCAGTGGAAGCCTGGACAGGCTGCTTCTGATGTCAGCGAGTCAGCAGCAGCAGGATAAAGTAATTTGGTGGCAAGAGAGGGAAAGCCAAACAAACAAAAGACTAATCCCTCTTCTATCTGGGGAGCTACCAGAAGAAGCCATCTGCATTGGGGTGGGCCTTCCTACATCAGGTGAGGCTCCCTACTCAGGTGATTCTAATTCGTAGCGAGATGACATTAAAACCAACCATCACAATTAGATAAACAGCTTTGTAGGTATAACTGCTTTACTTCCCCTATTTTGTGATTGACACAACAAATATGGGAGCTCTTGGTCCTAGGAATAAATTTCCCAAATAAATCTATTTAATATGCATCATATGTAATTTATGTTCCCATGTCTGATACTCATTAATTCAGAAAGAAAATATTAATGTTTGAAAACTGAACATTCCATGAACAATTCACTTTTTCATAAATTATTACCAGTCTAGAGTGAAGAGTGGTAGATGAAAGACTGACCAGGAATCAGCAAACCTGGGTTCCAGATCTTCCATTAGGGACACATTAGTCATGATACCTACGAAGTATAGCTACTGTGGAGAGATTTGATGAAATTGACTCAGTTACTGGGGTACAAGTGCTGTGGAACCTGTAGAGTGCTTCACAAACAGCAGGGAGCCTTGCCTCCCGCACACACTTGCCTGGTACACATAGTTGAAGAAGCTGTTAGAGGATATTACAGATGTTTAAGATGCATTGATAGAGAACCAGAAAGATGACTCATCAGGTAAAGGTACTTGCCACCAAGCCTGACAACTTGACTTTGATTCCTAGAACCCACACAGTAGAAGAAAACAAACTCCTGCATGTGGTGTGCAGGTGCAAATAAACACACACAATAAATAAGTATATAATAAAAAAAAATAAGATGTTGGCAGTAGTTCACAGCAGAAGTCTTGAGGAATATAAATGCAAATGTAACAATGCAACATCAATAGACACCCCACTAGAATTTGGAATTATCCTGATCACATTGGCCATGATCCTTTGGAAGCTGGATTTGTCATGGCGTGATTGTTCTTCATTTGAGTGCTAACTCTTCTCAAGTTCTTTTCTCGGTTCCATCCGACAGCATCCTGGATGAGGCTAAGAACATCTCTTTCAATGCTACTGCTGCCTTCAGGGCTTACAGCAATATTAAAGACCACATTGATGAAGCTGAAAATGTTGCCAAAGAAGCCAAAGGTCTTGCGCATGAAGCTATAAAACTGGTAAGAGACAGACAGCCTTATACACTGTGAAAGGAAAGTTTGTTTTTTTAAATTTTTGAACAGGAATATATTGTACACTGAGCATGCTTCATGTCCTATCCTCCTTTTCCTCCCCCTCCCTCTCCCATTTGTCTCCTTGTTCCCCCAGGCAATTTCAATTCTACTTCATTATATATATATATATATATGCATGATTTCATATGACTATATAAAATCTAGGTTCTGTGAATCAGGGAAAACATAATATTTGTCTTTCTGAGACTGTCTTGACTCACTTAATATTATTATTTCCAGTTGTCTCCATATTCCTGCCAACAACTTAATTTAATTATTCTTTATGGCTGAAAAATTTTCCATTGTATATATCTACCATATTTCTAGGTTGGTTCCATAACTTAGCTAGTCAAATATTCTTTGAATAAATTCTTAAACTCAAATTTTCAAGGTTGAATGAGCTACGAAAATTTTATTACATTAGAAAACATGTAAAGAAAAAATAATCACAACAGAATTCTTTTCTCAGCCATCTAGTACTTATTATTGTCAGAATCTGGAAATTACTGTAAGTTCCATATAAATTTGTGCTGAAGCTCACAAAATTTAAATAACCAAATAGAATAAATACTCTAGACAAAGATCTTTATCACCATTAGTCCAAATGCCATCAGTTTTTAAAAGTACCTTGAAAATTAATATGATTGCTTCACAATTGTACCCATGTTGATTATATATGAAGTTTGACTATCAAGTGCATTTTTATAAAACCCATCAGAC